ATTCTCGTCCATTTCATTTTCTTCATTGTTGAGCATTTCTTTGAAACAGTTATCAGCTCCATCGCCAGTGCTTAATTCACACTTTTTAAAGCAATTTGATATTTTTTGGGTTTAAACAATGTCCCATGATTTACGAAATCAAATGCATTGATTCCAAAATAGTAAGGGATTTCGATAGTTTGTTTGCAGTTAAGAGTTCCGAAGAGCTGTCACAGTTTATGCCACAAATGATTTTTCGAACAACCATTTTTCTGTAATGAAACTTGAATAATCTTATGATTCCCCGATCAAGGGGTTGAATAACAGCTGTAGTGTTGGGTGGCAAAAACACTAATTTAATGTTTTTCAAACGCAAGTCCTCATCAGCAAGGTGCGCAGAACAATTGTATAAAAGTAAGATGACCTTTTCATTTTTCAGCTCCTTGTCCCATTCAAGAAGAAATTTTGTGAAGATGCTGGATGTCATCCATGCGTTATAGCTATTGGCATAACTGGTGGGTTTTACTCCTTTAAAACATCAAGGTTTTAAACTCTTTCCTATCACTAAAAAGTTTTTTTTTCCANTGTCATGTTGCATGTTAGCAGCACGGTTAGTCTTTCCTTCATTTTTTTACATCCACCAGTCGATTCATTTTTAAACAGCAGTGTGTGTTCAGGAAGTGCTCGGAAAAATAATCCTGTTTCATCTGTGCTAAAAATTTGATCTGGTTTATAGTCTTTGATGAGTGTTGGCCACACGTCCTCTACCCAATCGGCGGCAGAGCTAAAATCAGCATCTTGCTTTTCACCATGCATTGACCGCAACAACATTGTATTTCACCATTATGAAATACAATGTTGTTGCGGTCTTTCCATCGGGTTAGCCACCCATCTGTAACTTTAAAATCAGAATCACCAAATGAGTTAGCAAAGTCCTGTGCATTGTGAAATAAAATTCCTCGGGAAATTGGAATTCTTCGTTCGCGTGCATTTTGAACCATTCATTCCTCCGATTTTCCTTCACGCTTATGCTTTCTTGACAGATTTCTATTCTTTTTTATTTCCTGGGAAATATTTATTCTTTGTTTCATAATATTGAAAAGAGCAGTTTGGGAAATATCTAATTTAATTGAAGCTTCACGTTGACTACATTTAGGAAACTTGTCATAGTTTTGCAACACTTCGAATTTATCTTTAAGACTCAAATCCTTCCTTTTCGGCATGCTGATAAAATTTAACACCAAACGAACTTAAAACTGATGTGTGCTCTAACTCTAACTATAATTTACTCAAACAACTTAAAATGGAACATGGGCACAGACAGTTTTTGGAAATCTGTTCATGTTCTCTGTTAAGATAGAACTCAAAAGAAACTTCTCTCCCTTCTATGGTTCATTCAATAAAAAGTAAGATAAGAATTCAACCCCCTGTTGAGTGTGATAGGTTTCTCCAAACTTCATTCAAGTCAAGAAATTGACATTGATAAATTGATTTCTATGAATTCCCTGCTTATCACCCACATTTTTCCTTAACTCTTACACTATGTACATCACAGGAAAGTGCTAACACCTGTTTCTCAGGTTTGTGAGTAACTGTTGCTTCTTCTAAAAAAATCTTTAAACTTCGAAAAGATAAAATTTTATAAATACGAACAAAAAATAGCTGAAAAATTGCACTTTTGATTTATTATATAGTCAAAATTTTGATTTTAAAAAGCGGCGGCATTGATTTCATTAAAGGATGTTTTCAACATGCATTAATATTGTAACGAATCGGTTCTTGCCGATTTGATTTTATAAAGCGGCTGATTTTATTATCTGGTGATTTTATAAGCGGCGGTCACTGTAGTTCCAAGTGCCCGCCATTAAAAAAAATAATACATTTTAAAAAAATTTCTTTGAACTCACTAATTCTATTAAATTGTTTCAACGATTAACCACTGCATATTATGAGAAATAATATAAAATAGAAGTAAGTAAAAAGTTTTTAAAAACCTAAATTGAAACCAATACATTAATGAATAAAAATTTACACATTGTTTATTTGAAACATTTTAAATTTTAATTCAAAAATTAATTTAGTTTGCATGGAATGCCAGATTTTCTATTTTCACTATCATTACACTTATTGTTTTGTGTATAAAATTTTTTCCTGCATTTGTATTTTGTTTTGAAAAATGACTTAAGAGAATGCTATACCCTTAAGGAAACTTTTCATTGAAAGTTCTCTTTCATCTCCATAAGTAATTTAAAGTGTAGAAACATTGAGTTCAGACAAACCTAGAGTAAGTTATCACGTTTATATTGCTGAAATTTTTTTTCTAAATTTCAAAATGCAAACTAATTATTGGAAGTAACCATTGCGTAAGCAGAAGTTATCTTCTCATAATTTATTTTCATTTTGATAAGTTTAATACTTTATTACCAGCATTTGAAACTTTATGGCTTACTCTTGGTTTGTCTGAACTCACTTTTTCTTTAATTTAAATTAGTTATTAAGGTGAAAGAGAATTTGCAACGAAAAGTTCCTCATGTGGTATGACGTCCTCTTAAGCATAATTTTGCATTTAATAGTATAAAAATAATTCTTGATCTTCTGTCGGCGCTTACTATTGTTTGGACCAAAGCTTAATGTTGCCTTTTACATTTAATCATGAGGTATACACACATAACATTTAAGTAGTATTTACATACGCAGTTACTGGTAAGAAGATATTTAAACTAAAAATTTCTTTACAATGACAATTTAATGAACATAATATAGCTTTAGTTATGGTAAATTAAGAAAATATTTTTGAAGAAATTATCCAGATAAAAAACAATGGGTCCGAACCAATTATTTTCTGCTAACCTTGTATTTCTACTTATCAAATTCTTTCCTGATAACCTTTAAAGTTTGAGCCTAGGTCAGTGATCAATTTGATTGCCGTTCATTTTATTGATGCTGAATCTTTTTTCAGATGCAGAATGTACTTTAAACCCTCCTTTTAATGGTTCTACATAGTGAGAGTGAACCACTTATTCACATATTTTACGAAAAGCTTACAAAAGCTCCTTCCTCTAAAATGGCTGCAGTTTGACTGAAAGTGTAAGTTTTATTTTAATGCTGAGCTCTGAATATGTTTGGATATGTATATGATTCTGAATGTTTATGTATTGCTGTATCTTAAAAAAAGTTTTTGTTACAAATTCAGTGTGAAGGAGGATATAGACCCAGACTTGTACAGTTTGTTTCTATAGTTGTGCCATTTGGTTTTAAGGCCTCCTTATTTGATCCAAGTTTTTGGGCGAAAATTGTTTGAAATTGAGGACAACGTTTTTTGTTTGGATCTTGAATTGTGTAAACTAGGGTTGCACAACCTTTTTGAGTGAAGGGCCACTTGCACAGCAGGTTGAATAACGAAGGGTCGCACATGTATTTGTCATTGTTAACAGCGAATGTAGTAATATTTATTTAAACATTAGTGCTCTAATTTTTCTTATCTATAAACTTAGTAATATATTTGAAGAAAATTAAAGACATTCAATTCATTAAAGAATAAAAAAATAATACTTCAAAAAAAAATTGTTACAAGTCGCTATATTTAATAATTCTATGTAGTTATTAGGCAAACAACTGTGATTTTAATAGTAAATTCACATTTTCGTGAATAGCACATTCAAATTTTGCATAGTGTTTTACCTACATATAAAATATGGATAGGTTGTAGTACAGCAAACTCAAATTTGCGAATTTTTATGTTTAGGTGCATCTGTTTTGATACTTGATATGCTTCTATCAAGGTGCACATTTGACTTTGTGGACTTTCTGTCCATTTTCTCTGACAAGCTGTCCACTTAGCTCTACCAGAAGTCTGGTAAGAAAGGTTATCAGATGTGTAGAAATTTATTACAAGCCTTTTTTGTTTCATCAGAAACTTTGTTTTAGTTGTAAGGTTACAGAGTATGCGGAGAACAGTATGTTTTCTTGGAGATGCACAATTGGCTTTTTTTATAGCTTTCCCCAATGCCTAAGGAATACTATAAAGAATATATTGTAGTTTACAAATCACGCATTGCGATTCACAAAAGAAAGATCTAAGAATTACCACTCGCAATTCTCATCAAAATGATTTAAGAATCACACATAGCTGTTCTATATTAAGCACCTTTTGAGTCACAAATTGCAGTTTTCCTCATTATGTTTAAAATTCACATGAAAACTCTTAGCTAATCATGCAACAGAATTTATATTGAAGTGATTTATGTATCACACATTGTGATTTACGCCTTGTTAGTTCAGGCATTTTGTATCATTTGCTATTTATATTGTTCCGATTTAAGAAACATATACCGCAATTTAATTTCAATTTACTTATCACACATTGTAATTCGTGATTTACATAACCTTTGAGACTTCCCCTTTTTTATAATTTTGGTTTACATATAGTATATCTAGATTCATATAAATGCGATTTAAAAATTCAGCTTAGTGAAAAGTACGCATATTCACAAAATTTTAATAATCATTCTTAATATTTTATGGATATATTTTAAAGAAAACAAAGCTTGTTAAGTTTTAGTTATCTGTAAAATATTGTTATAAAATTTAACACCAAAC